CTATTTTCTTCCAGCAGGCTCTCCAGCCTTCATGCATCCCATCAAAGCAGAACAGATTATTGTGTATTATTACAACCGAATTCTGGACTAGGGAGCATTAAAGGAATGGTTTCAGGTAACAAATACCTTTGAAAAACCAGTGTTGAGTTGGCAGATAAGTTACTTAGAAAAGAGGTGGTAATTTGAAGACTCAGCTATTAAATACTCAACTGTCTGTACTGGTCAGAGAGTGCCTGATGCTTTTGTACTTGCCAAAGAAGAAAGAAGAGGTACCTGTTGTGCCAGGACTTCTGCCTGCAGTAAGATATTGATGGAGGGCAAGCTGCTGTCTTCATAACTTGATCTCCGGGTGCTGATTCGGTCCCGTTCATTTTGTACAGCTGCAAGAGAGTGTTTTGGCTGAGCTGCAGGTCATTCATAGCAATGCACACCGAAAACTAGCACAGACTTTTGGCATTGCTCTCCCTTAGCTGCACTTTCCCAGCATCCCAGCCTGGCAGGGCGGAGGTGCAGCTGTGTCTGGTTTGTGACGGGATGCCTGCGAGAGCTGACTACAGCTGGTTGTTCTGTTTTCACATTCGCTTTATTAGGCTTTTCTTGGATGGGGTCGTTTCAGAACCCAAACACCTGGTTCAAACGCCTGTAGAGTTCAAAGGGAAAGCTTCCTTGCAATGGATCTGGCTCTGGATTTGCAATGGATCTTTTTGTATTTCAAGATATGGGGTCTGAAATGGTGGCCATGCTCACGCATGCAGCCCAAATGTGTGAAATGGAGGAGTCAGTTATCTGCATGGCTTCTTTGTCTGTGTACGTGACTTCTGTGAGCTCTGTCTGGGAAGCTTTTGCACCAGGTAGGTGCAGTTGGAAAACTTCCGTCTAAGCTACAATAAGGAAAGAAGCGCAAAACAGCTCCTCCTTATCTCTCCAGAGCGACGGAGCTCTCTCATACCTTATTGTAAAGACAGTCCCAGGACAGGTTTGACCCCAATGTGCCTCCCTGCTTAGTCTAGTCTTGAGGAGGACCTGGGCTTTGAGTCTAGAGGTGGCAGAAGCAGCAGTGCTGAGGAGGAGGATTTGCCTCTGTCTGGCACGAGGCTGTGGCTGGCCGTAACTCACCATGGCCATGCCAGTCAAAGCCATCTGCTCAAACAAGGTATTGATCGATGGCAGGGGAAACAGAACAGTCCCTGCCTTAGGCTGGTGGTTCTCTGGATTGATACATTCTCAATGTATAAATCTGCCTGATAAAAAGCAATAACGAGGCTGGGCCAGAAGAAAAGCTCTGCAGTCAGCGGCTGTAAATAGGAGCTTTCAAGGTTATGCTGCTTGTTATCAGTAGCAGGCCCCCGAGTTCAGTCACGCCATGATGTTTTCCAAATGTTTGCTCAGTATTAGCTGGTCATGCACCTAATGTAACTTCTATTGAATATTAACAGACAGCAGCAAAGCTCTGGGCATGGGATGAGCAGGCGCTGCAGGGAGAGGAGGATTCCTATGTTCTACAGGAAAAGTCAAGCCAAGTTCCTTGTGATACCTCATCCCCTTTAACAGGAAAGAAATGTTGCTGCTCAGAGGTGTTCCCCCAGGCCAGTGCTTCTGGGGAAGCTGCCCAGGTACCGCTGATACTTCCCTGTTGTCTTCAAGGACCCCTTTTCTCCTAAGTTTCTTTTCGAGGGGGCGTGAACTGGAGGGAGCACAGAGTTTAACTTCTGTACGTGGAACAAGACCAAATGCCTTACAATTGTCCCTTTGCAGACATCAATGAGGTGAGCTCTGCAAGGTGCCAGGCAGCTCCTCTGTACTGTTCCTGTCCCTCCGCCAACAGAGCCATCTGTGGGGCCACCCGCAGGGCCACCAGCAGGACCATAGCAGCCCCAGGTTTCCTTCCCTCTGTGAGTGCTCCTGAGAACCAAGCAGGGCTAAGTGAGGGTGAATTCTGTCGCTAAATAAGGGTGAATTCTGTCCCGTCGTGTCTGAGTCATGGGGACCTGAAAGGGCTGCAGAGACAGAGATGCAGGGAAGTTGGTAGGGTGAGGCTGGGCTGTGCAGCAGGGTGGAGTCTTTACTCATTTCATATGGAGCTAAATAGTCTAAATGCTCCACCTTGCTCTGGGACATTTTTGCCATGGCTGATGCATCAGATAAAACTAAGCTCTGTGCAGAGGATCAGCAAGAACCTGTATGCATATTAGGTAAAAAAGGGGCAAAATGACAGTTGAACCCTTCATTGGACTCACCCGACCAGCTGTGAATTTCATGCTTACCCTGGGGCAACAGCACTTACAGCGATGTTCCCAAAGTGTTTCCAAATTGTGCAGGCTTTCTTTGAAGTTTCTACTTCTCACTGATACCGAGAATCATTCCCAAATCATTTGGATGCCCCAGTTATGCAGGAGCACTGGTGACGTGTGTGTCAGGATTAGCAAGAGTGAATTGCAGAGCCTCACGTGTGATTTGTGTGTACAAGCACGGGCAGTTCTGGGACACAAGCATGGCCCTGTGGCACTCTCATGGCCTTGTCTTTGCTGGCATTTTGAGAGGTGCCCTGAGAAGGGGCCCTGAAATTGAACACACAGGGCCCCCATGCCTTGCCCTCAACTGTTGGGATGGTGGCTACTTGCAAGGACTTCGTATAGGTGGGAGTGGGCAGGTTGGGTACAAGCAGGGCTCATGACTAGAGGCCAAAACTCTTCCTAAACCCTGCTGTGATGGAGGTCTGGATCTGTGCAGAGGAGAGCACTGTGGAGGGAAGACAGGGCTAAGATGGCTGGGCAAGTGTGCACATGGCAAGGACTGGCCTTGGGCTGTGAGGGCTTCCTCAAACATAGGCAGCCAGCACG